GTTCATTCGTGATCGTGGAGACAAGTTGCTTCTGGGTGAATGGACTAGGAGAGGTGAACAAGATGCATAGTTTATGGAGGAGGAATATGGCTCTGGTTCTGAGAGTTTTCTGAGGCTTTCAGAATAAGTGGAAATACATCATTTATTTTCCTCAGGCAGAGCCTAGTATCAAGAGAAAATTTCAAAGAATAATGTGTTGATATTCCAAAGACCTGGATTCTAATTTTCACATTAGATGTTAGAATCTGAGTTTTCTAGTCTAAAAAGTGGTGAACTTGACTAGATCATCACAGCTTAAATGGACATATTTTTTCTGTCAGCGATGAGAATGAAGGAGACATGCTTTGAAACTTGCTAGATCTTTCTAAACTCACAAATCCATGGTGCTACAATCAAAAGCATTCTGAGTAGCAAAGATCCATTTGTTTAGATATAGTAAAGGAGGTTAGCTGTTGTGCCTTGTTTGGATTAAGAGACAAGGTTTGAAAAAAAATGATATTTATGGAAAGGAAGAAAATAATGGGATCTGAAGTTTTATTATGCACTGAATGTTTTTGCATTATAGTCCTTCTAAAATTAGATTTCTCCCAAAAGGTGGTTTCCTACAGAAGGCATCTTATTTGAATGCAGGATGACACTGAGTAACAATTTAGTGGCCAAAATTTAGCAGTAGTTGCTCTTCAGCTTCTGGTGGGCTGATGTTCAAGGAAGAGCCCTCCCTTACCCCAAATCTGCTGTGCTGAGTAGCAGAAATGCAAACAAGAAATTAGGAAAATACCTCCCCAATTTAGGCAAAACCACTCTGGGCTCACCTACTCTTGGGATCTCTAGAAAAAATATCTACGGATCTTAAAAAGAGGATGAATGGTAAGTTTCTTGCATGCATGTGCCATCTCAACTGGCATCGCTTCTGCAGAAAGATTTGAAGAATCTTGAAAAGCAATGAATTTGGAAGCTCTATTTCCTCATTCTCCATTTCAACGTGATCAGCAAATCCAAATATGCAAAAATGACGCTTGTTTGGAGGACAGCAGTGCAACCCAGGCCACTGCTTTTTCCGGTTTAGAAGTAGACATATTTCTGCCCTGGAGATCTGCAATCTAAACTGACAAGTTAGAATACTGGAGATACCTCAGAAAATAGTCTTCCAGGTGATTGGAGGAAGGCTTCATTTGAATTGGGATTAAGGAATTTAGCATTAAATGAACTAGCATGATGGTTCTTCTCTCTTGCCTTCTCTGTTATGGCTGGTACCACAGTCATAGTCTGGCCTCATCTGCTATTGTTATAATTCTTTCCTGCACTCAGAATTTCTGTTTCCAAATTTTTGACCATTTATGTTAATACAAGTAATTCTTTACTTGCAGGCTGGACTGCAGCGTTTTGAGGAAAATTGCTGTCTTACCCTTGTCACACCCCTGATGGCACATGAGGCAGGGCTAGCCTGCACACTTTGTACACTCTTAATGACGACTCATCAGTAGACCCTGCCTGCCTATTATCTTTCTCTAGCCCAGTGGCTCCCACATGTCAGTCACCTAACGAGAGCAATTCTAATTGAGGTTTCCATTGATCTTCAGTGAAATGAGAAAAATGAAGGCAATGTAGATAGCTTTTCATAAAACCTAATTTATTCTATTTAGAGAACTAGTGTATTCTAAAATTATGTCTTGCTCCTACTTTGGTATTGAAATGTCCTTTCTTTTATCAAAATAATGGGGATGGTAGGTGGTTATTTAGTATTTCTAGCCAGCAGAATTAAAAATCTCAACAATCTTATGTTTCACTCCCATCTTCCTATTTGTTTTTAAATACTGTTAGTCCCTAGAATTCAAATGTCTGTAAAACCCTGCTTTAAAAGGCAGAAGTTTTAGTTTTTATTTCTTTGCTTAAAACCTTATATATATAATATGTACTTTGGGTCGATTTTCCAGTAATGGTCCCTATTGCTGCTGCCAGATTCCTTCCTTCTGAGCATTATGTCAGTTTAAGGAGCAGAAATGCACAAGTATCTGGATCTTTGACTAGACCCCTCTGACCATGAGTCAGGCCGGGCTGTGTAATTTGCTGGAGCCAATGGGACAGCAACAAATCTGACACAAGCAGAAATTTGAAAAGAGTTTTTTTTCCCCACATTGGGCTTGCCCTCTAGCTATTCTTGGAACCCTGCTCCTGCCATGCTAAAGAGCTCAAGCTAGCCTGATGGATGATGAGAGGCACGTGGCCCAGTCACCCTGTTGCCCCAGTCAATATCCAGCCAACTGTCAACCATGTGAGGAAGACCATTGGTACTAGCCAGCTTCCTGCCAGCTTACCAAGTGAGCGCAGACACATGAGCAAACCCAGCAGAGACCACTGGGGCCCATAAAAGAACTGCTTAGTAGAATAATGAGCCAGATAAGTGGTTGTTGTTTTAAGCTACTATGTTTTGGGGTGGTTTGTTATGTGGCAATACATAACAGATACGGTGACACAGTGCCAAGTCTTCAAACACCATGAAGAATCTCTGAGATTTTTCTCAGACATATAAGGATATGACAGCATCCATTGGATAAAAGTGAATTTGGATTCTCAGCCATGTCTTCTCTTCAAGACTTACATGCCCGTCTTTCTCTTATAAGATCACCTCCAGAGCAGGAACCTAGTAGAATGCCTGGTTTTCAGAAGCCACTCCATCAACATCACTTGAACAATCCAATCCCTGTGATCAGGGCTGGCCTGTTGTCAGGAATGACCCACTGAATGTGATTTGAAGGTTGTAGGAAAGGCTTCCTCTCTCCACACATCTCCTTGATTAATACTTGAAATTTCAACATCAGCAATTTGTTCTCTGTGCTGAAGCTGTGCTCCCCATGAGGCTTTTAAAAAATGCAAACATTCCTGGCTGGGTTAGCATACTGTCATCCTCTTCCTGTGAATGCTCTTATCAGATATCTCGGTCACCAAGGGGTCAAAGTTGGGGTGAGAGTAAACAGCAAAAAAGAGGAGAAACGTTGAAGGGGTGACAAGGTCCCAGTTACCAAACAGGAGGGCTGAACACACTTCCCACTGTGGCTGAGTCAGCGCTGTTTCCTGAGGAGAGCCCAGCTAAGAGTTGAATTGCCCCCTCCAAGGAGAGGAGGAATGGAATCTGTCTGGCTTTGGACTCTTGCCCTGGGGGCGGGGATGGTCAGATGTGAGGAAAGATTCATCACCTCCCAGTGCTAGCATTTTCCTTGGAAGCCCTCATCTGCTTTTTTGTGCCCCCAAAGCAACATTTTTTCAATAGCTTTGTAGGGTGCACATTAGCTGTCTATTCTTGGCTACACTGTCCGTTGTCACACCCTGGATGTCTCTACTTTTTCTTAGACTCTTTGGATGTGAATTGGTTTTGCCAACATGCCCAACTACAGTGATGAAAGCCACAGAGGGGACAGGCTGGCGGGATGCATGACTTGCTGCCACCAGATTCCTTCTTTCTGAGCATTATCCGAGTTTAATGAGTTGAAACTCACAAGTATAATTAGCATAAGGCTTAAGATACTACTCTCTGTCCGTAATTGAATTTAATTTACAGCTTGAATAATTGCATTTACATGTGCAACCAAATGTTTGTCTTTGTTGGTTTTAAAAGCCTCCATCCATATTTATCTAGGAAAACTTTGCAAGGCCAAGGATCACTTATAAAAAGCTAGGGTGTTCTGGCATCTCTTGGCTTGAATTGGAAGGTGCGTTTGTAAAATGCAATCCTTGGAAATTGCCTAAAAGACTTGAGGCTTTCTGATGTGAGACACTTATCAGCTTTCTAAATGTATAGCCTTAAGCCTCAAAAGAATGCTGTTCTGTTGCTTAATACAGCAACCTTAAGCCTCCTGGGGTGAAAAGTACTTAGCATAATTAAACTGCTGACTGTTCTTGAAGAGGGAAGGTGGGTTTTGTTTTAAGATTACAAGTGGCATTTCCAAGCACTTTGAGTTGAGGCCATCTTGATAGTTAGTATAGGGTATCTTGCATTCTGCAATCCTTGAATTGCAGGCATAGCAAACTGAAAGTGCTTGTAAGAGACAGTGTAATTCCATACACATGTTCCCTAGGGTACCCCTAGACATAAATGGAAGTATCTCTTCCCTCCTTCCCCCACCCACTTCTTTAGTAAGCTAAAGCAACGCAGACAATGTTTGCAAAACTGAGCTCTTCTTTCCCAGGCATTTTGGAGCAAAGAGTCTAAAGACCTATGATCTCATCTTCAAGCCTTGTAAGCAAATGTAGAGGAACTGCAAAGCTTGGCCTAGTACAATCACTGTCATTGAACTTCAGCTGAGACTTCTGTGTCATTTGGCTTTCTTTGTATCACTCTTTTTCAAAATAGAATAATGTGTAGATATGCTAGTATTGAATTATAGTGTTACTTAACTATGTAACTAATATACTTATAGCTTCAAAAAAAGAAAAGAAAAAATATGCAAATAAAGTAGAAACAAACCTATAAAATGCATGGCATTCAAATGCACATGTTAATTACAAGAGAGGTTCACTCCGTTTTTGCAGAAACCACATCACCTGCGTATGAACTGGTCACAACCACTGCTAACATGTTCTGGTCAGTTTTCCCCATTGAAGCTATTAGCAGAACATGGGGTGACTCAGTATTTGCCTCATTTTTCTGTTTCAGGATCAAAATTAATTTTTGACACTGACAATGACAGTGAGTCAATGGTCTTTCATGATGTGAATGTCCATCTATGTATGAAGTCTTTGTCTGTTCTGCATTAGCCCATCACAATTAATGTCATGATGCTTTAGAAAAGAATGAGAACAGTACATGGGAGAAGCTGTTGGTTGTCCAGGCAAGGATACCACTCCCCTGAATGCAGCCCTGTCTGAATGAACAATCTCCAGGCTCTAGGATCTGGGGAGCTCCTTGCAATCTTCTGAAGGGGGAAGGGGTTTGGAGAGGGATTGATGTGGTCATTCTTCCCCTTGGTCAGGTGAGCTGTCACAAGCACATATCTGGAAACAGCTTATTGTCTCAGCAAATGCCCATCTATTCCCCATGATAGCAGAGAGCAGACAGCAGTATCAGGAAGAATTTCTCTTTGTGACAAAAATACCTGGTTTATCCATAAGGATTCCTGTTGCCTGTGGCCCCCTTAAAAGGATGGTGCTCATTGGCCCTCATTCCATGGACCATGGTCTTGGAAGATGGAGTCCTTATCCTTCTGGAGACCCAATGCCATGTCCAGCATCATGCTGGTCCTCTCTCCTGCTCCGTGAAAGTAAGTGCATGCCTCATCTATGCCAGTTTCCATCTGTTCTTTCTGCAGTTGAAGTTATCCACTCCCCAGACAGGGTCTCAATCATATACTTGGGGATCTTGTCCCAGTGATGAGGGAGTAGGAGGCAAGCTGAGGGGAAAAGCACAAGTTAGTATACCCTCCCTCCCCAGGTGGGACATGTATGATATTCCTTGGACACTCCAGGCTACCCCAAAACAGGAAAGGACAAAAAAAAAAAGTTAAACTGATAAGAGTCTCCACCAGTTTACCAGAAAAAGGCAATCCCATCATAGCCTAAAGTCCACGAACTCCCTACTATCTTTTTTTTTCCTTTTTTAATGTTTATTTATTTTTGAGAGAGAGAGAGAGGGAGACAGAGTGTGAGTGGTGGGGGGGAGGGCAGAAAGAGAGAGCGAGATGGAGACAAAGAATCTGAAGTAGGCTTCAGGCTTTGAGCTGTCAGCACAGAGCCTGGTACGGGACTTGAACTCACAAACCATGAGATCACCACCTGAGCCCAAGTCTGAGGCATAACTGAGCCACCCAGCGCCCCCCCCCCCCCCCATACTGTCTTAATGTTAATACTTTGCCGGAGGGAAAAACAACCTTAACTTGACAATAGCTAGGCTTCCAGTAAGTCATCTTTAGCATGTGAAAGTCTCTTTGGAAACTCCCTCTTGACTTTATGTCCCCTGACTCCATAAAACAGTCACCCCCACAACCCCAGTGCCGCCCAGGGGTCCTGTCCCCATGCTTTAATAAAATCACCTTTTTGCACCAAAGATGTCTTTAAGAATTCTTTCTTGGTCATTGGCTCTGGACCTCACAAACCTCACCATTCCCCCAAAACTTCATCACCAGGTCTTCATCAACACTCTAATTCTGTCAGCATTTTATATGATTTCATTTGTACAGCTACTTTAGCAACCAAACCTTGAAGCTCTGAGTCCTTTAGAATCAATAGCTTTTTACCACCCCTTCACTTCAGGTGATTGCTGTATGCATTCTGCCATCACTCAGAGCCCTAACACCTCTGAAAGCTTAACTTCCTACATCTTACTCTCTGGCTGCCCTAAATCTTTACTTTCACTACCCTGGATCTTTGACCTCACCCAAGCATCTATAATTGCTCTAATTTATTCCATTCAACCACTTTATCTCAATGTTATATCCTTCAAACCTAGATTTTTTTGGACCATTGTTTCAATGACTCTCTTGCCAAAATCCTCAGTTTCCTTGATCTATTGTTCTTCCGTTACAAATGCCCCATAAAACTCCAACTTGAAATCAACTTAACGGTTTAACTTCTATGTTTCCTTATATCACAAACCTCTCAGATTCATGATGATGATTTATGACCTCAATTAGACTTAAAGCTGCCCAGTAATCTTTCTATCTCTCTCTGTCTTATTCCCCACAGTGGTTATTTCAAACCTCATCTATCCTCAAATATTCTACCCTGGAATACCTTCTTATACTTTTCACAGGGAACTAAGCTCATAAAATGGAATCCATTTTACAGAAATTCCCTTCATTCTTTGCTACCCTACCTAAAACTTAGCTGCATGGGCATATACTTTTTACTTTTTGCTTCTTGATTGAATAGAAGAGATTTACCCACTTCTTCATCACTCCCATAATGTTAATCCTAGCCTAGGGCTAATTTCTCTACCTCTGCTCTGCATCAAATCTCTCATTGCTTCTCAGGAGACTTTGTTATTCATCAATTATCCCTTTTGACCCCTATACTTTAGCCACTTTTTATTGGCATCTTTTTACTAACATTAGAACAGATTCAAGCTTATCCTATATTTAACTCAAAATTCAACTGTCACTCAATCTCATCCTTTTCTTCCTATCATCTGTCTCTTTATCTTCACAACAAGATCCATTGAAAGAGTTGTCCACTCACATTGTTTTCACTTAATCAATCACCAATTCACTCCTTAATCCATGACCTTCAGGCTGCTATACCCATCCTCGCATCAAAACACTTCTTGCAGCTCATCTTCCTGTCTCTATATCCAGTGCAAGCTTTCATTCTTTATCTTACCATCCTCTCTGTGACATGGTAGGCCACTTTCACCTATTCAACACTCAGCCTTAGTTTCTGTGCATTGCACTCTTCTGGTCTTCTTCCTAGCCCTCTGGCTATTGTTTCTCACTCTGATCATTATCTCTGTTTCTTTAATTTTGAAGAGATATGGATGCAGCAAAGATGGACTTGAATTATAGCCAAGGTAAAGCCACTCAGAGGTGAATATGATCCCTAGTAATTTCATTTCTAGGAATATTGTCAGTCTTGGTTTCGACACTGAGGGTTACATTTAAAATCACTCACTCAGAGGCACTCTAATAAAGGAAAGAGAACCTACTGAGGTTCTCACAAATACCATATTAGAAACTTAGGAGATCCAAAAGTGTGACCTTTTTACATCCAAATACCACAAGATATGTATCAAGTTATAGGAAGGCATGAATATGATAAACTAAAGATGGTCACAATTTCTTAGACATTTCTACAATTGACAGTTGGGATTGCTGTCCCCTACTTTTGAGTCTGGGCAAGCTATCTGCCTGCTTTGATGAATAAAATGGTATGGAAGTGATGTTATGATAAATTCTAAGCCAGGCGTTAAGAAATTTGCAGCTCCATTTCCTGCCTCTTAGAATCCAGATGCCATGCTGTGAGAATATCCAAACAGATCCATGAAAGAGAGAAATCTGTCAATAGCCCCAGGTAAGTCTCAGTTGACAGCAGAAACTTGTTAGACATATGAGTGGGCCATCATGGAACTGGGTCCTTCCAAACCCAGTTGGAGCACCCTCACTTGATGTTCCATGAAGCAGAGATGAGGCAACTCTACCAATCCCTGCCCAAACTGCATATTCATGATAAAAACAAAGGGAGAAATTTCTGCTAGAGGGAAGTGGGTTATTTCCTCCTCAAATATTTACCAGTGTACTAGATTTCAGAGTTGTTAGGGAGAGTTGGAGGGAAATTAGGGTATTGGAGAAGGAAGAGACAAAAGAGCTAAGTCTACAACTTTTGAAGTAAAGAATTGAATTCCTTGCAGTATTCCAGGGCTGAAGAGGCAGAAATTTGCCAGGCTCTTAATAAAACCTCAGAAGGGCCACTCACCTCTCCTTCTCTAAAAGAATATTGGTTAAAAGATGAAGTTAGTCATGCTAAGACTAGTAAGCAGCCCTGTGTGAGCTTAATCTATGATTGTGACAAGGTGATTACCTCATTACCTTATCTATCTAACAGGAAAACAAGAGGATATACTTCCTGGTTAAAGATGACATCTGGGGACACATGGGTGGCTCAGTCAGTTGAGTGCCTGTCTTTGGCTCAGGTAATGATCTCGCAGTTCCTGGGTTCGAGCCCTGAGTCGGGCTCTGTGCTGACAGCTCAGAGCCTGGAGTCTGCTTCTAATTCTGTCTCCCTTTCTCTTTGCCCCTCTCCCACTTGTGCTCTGTCTCTCTTGCTTTTGAAAATGAATAAACATTAACAAATTTTTTTATTAAAAAAGAAGAATTTCAACAGAAGATTGTAATTCATAAAAAAGAATCAAATGGATGGCCTAGAAATATAAAATGCAGCATTCAAATTTAAGATCTTCTTGGATGGGTTTAAATTAAGACAAGAAACAACAAAGACAAGATTAATGAACTCAAAGATGAATCCATAAAAAGTAAAGGGAAGCACAGAGTTCAGTAGGGTGGAGGTAGGGAGAATGGATGGAGCAAATAGAGAAAGCATAAGAGAAATGTAGGGTTCAGTAAAAAGTTTTTTTCATGAGTGTGGGTAGAATTCCAGGAGGGGATAAAGAATGAGCAGATTGAAAGAAATATTTGAAGTGATAATTGCTGAGGTTTTCAAAATGATTGAAGACACAAACCAGGAGACTCAAAAAACTTAATGGGTCCTAAGTAGAATACATATAAAGAAACCACCCTTAGGCACATCATAGGTCAAACTTCTAAAAACCAAAAACAAAGAAAAAATCTTTAGAGTAGCCTGAGAAAAAAGACATCACATTCAAATGAGAGACAATAAAATTTATGGCTGACATTCCAATGGGAATCATGAAAGCCAGAAGACAATGGAATGACACCTTTAAAGTGCTTAAGTAAAAACTAAAAGTAAAATTCTATGAGGAAATGGCTGTGAAATAGAAATCAAATTCAAGACAAATACAAAGACATTTTCAGACAAAAAAAAATGAGAATTTTTTCTCTAGACAATTGGAACTATAAGATATATTAAAGTTCTTCTAGTCAAAGAAAAATGATTCCAGATGGAAGTACAGAACTGGAAAAAGATTAAGAGCACTAAAAATGTGAATATAGGGGTACATATAAAATATCAATGGTTTATAGCAAAATTACAAATAATATCTCTGGGTTAATGACATATAAAAGTAAATTATACTACATAAATGATAGGGAAGTAAATTACAGATACATTGCTACAAAGTTCTTGAATTTTGGGGAAGTAGTAAGAATACTAACTTAAGGGGCGCCTGGGTGGCACAGTCGGTTAAGTGTCCGACTTCAGCCAGGTCACGATCTCGCGGTCCGGGAGTTCGAGCCCCGCGTCAGGCTCTGAGCTGATGGCTCAGAGCCTGGAGCCTGTTTCCGATTCTGTCTCCCTCTCTCTCTGCCCCTCCCCCGTTCATGCTCTGTCTCTCTCTGTCCCAAAAATAAATAAACGTTGAAAAAAAAAAAAAGAATACTAACTTAAGGTGAACTTTAATAAGTTAAAGCTGCATATGTAAGTTTATAATAATATAAAACTAAATAATTAATAAAGGAAAAAGCATTAAAATATATTTAATTTAAATGAATAAAAGAAAGGAGTGATAAATAGAATAGAAAAAACAGAAGGTACCAATTATAAGGAAACATAATTGGGTCACTCTCAGAAAAATCACACTTAGACTATTAAATAAAATCACTTAATCAAGGCATTGAACACTGGTTTGAGTAAATGTGAAAACTGCTACATGGTCACCTGAATTTAACAGGGTGGGGGAGGGGACCAAGTAATGCAACTTGCATCCATTTCTGCCATATCTTAATAAGGTGCAAGCACAGCACCTAGCCATGCCCATTTGAACAGG